TGAAGGGTGAGAGACATGAAGGGTGAGAGATACTTTAAAATTAAAATTCCGATAGCCTTGAACGCGGACAGAGAAGAAAACGTTTCTTAATTTTTCATGAAAAATCATCACTTTTCGACCACTCGTATGTCCAGAACAGCTTGACCGATTTTTTATTTTTTTTTTTAAATTACTCGTGACGATGCCGCCTTCAAAATATGTTACGTCCGATTCACACACACACACACACACAAAATTTTTTATATTTTATTAGTTATGCAATCTCCAAAAATGGACTTTGGTGGTACAGGATAAGAGACTTGTAGTGTCTCTTATCTCTTATTTTTGATTTTTGAACATGGCCGGAGCCACTACCGCGTCTCCTGATTACTGTGTTGACGGTAAAAATTTTGAAATATTAAGCAATAAAACCCAGCTTTGGCTCGTAGCTCTTTAGTTTATTAATTAATATTTAAGTTTATAATTAAATATATATAAAGTGCACACATTTGAGATTATCTTTATGTCAGTCAGCACAAGAATAAAAAAGAATTTGTAAAAAACTTATTTATCTGACAAGAGTAATAAGAGTTTGATAATTCTTTGAGAATTTACTATTTAATGATTGTTCTTGAAAAGTTTTTAAAACAATTCTTTATTATTTTTGTTCCAACTAATTAATACATATTACCATTTATCGCCTTATTATAGTCTTCTTTTTCTAGAAGCACTGTGTATATACTGTTATCGGTATCTAAAATCTCATATGATTTTAATTTTGAATCCAATTCTTTTTTTTTGTACTTCCAGTATTAAACTTATCACGATCAGACGATTTTACGCTCTATGCTCTGTTACTGCTTTTAAGGCGACTGTTATCAACGCCGATTAACTTAATCGACGATTAACTCAATATGTAATGTAATCAACAGCAAGACTGTATATCGTTCTTAACCTTATCTCTTCGTGATATACTTTCTGCGTTCCTATACTTAATTGTGATAAAAGTAATGAAAATCTTCTATCTATAATGGTAATTCTGCTGATTAAGTTAATCGTTGATTAAGTTAATCGGCGTTGGTAACAGTCGCCCTTACTGTATTTGACTCACCTCTTGGAATGGAGTAAAAACAACAGGAAGTCAGCAATCCCCTAGGGCCAATTTATGCAGACTGAAGGTTTGTTCGCGTCGCATGCTCCAATATGTTGGAGCATGCGACGCGAACAAACCCTGAATAAACTTTCAGTAACTGACAGCATAAGAAATTCTATTTTGGAACGATAAAGCAGTGCTGTCAGTACTGCCAGTTTAATTTCGGAACATACCCTAGAGTTTACCTCACTCTGCCAATACCCTGATTTCCTAAACGCATCCCTGCAGAAGCGTTCTGAAATTACTAATAGTACTTTTATATGACGTTGCATAATGATTAACGAAACGGATTTAGTAGTACTTATAGCACCGTAATATATATAATATATGTATACAGGGTGGACCATCTGAAGTGATCCAGTCAAATATCTCGAAAACTAGTAGGGATAGAGAAAAATGTTTCGTATGAA